ACAAAGAAACAGAATTTCTGAAGGATGAGGCCCAGACATCAGGATTTTAAAAAGATTCCCAGGTGATTCTAATGTGCAGCCAAGGTTGAGAACCACTGCTATAGGAGATCAGACTCCTCTCCCCTCTCCTCCTTTCCCCTCTTCTCCTCCCTCCCCTCCCACTCTCCCTCTCCCCAAACTCAAAAACTGAATTGCCGCCCTAGTCTGTTTGGCTCGGTGGATAGAGCATCGGCCTGCAGACTGAAGGGTCCCAGATTCAATTCCAGCCAAGGGCTCATGCCCGGGTTGTGGGCTTGATCCCCAGTGGGAGGTGTGCAGGAGGCAGCCAATCAGTGATCCTCTCTCATCATTGATATCTCTATCTCTCTCTCTCCCTCTCCCTTCCTCTCTGAAATCAATAAAAGAAGTATATTTTTTAAAAAATGAATTGCCAATTGCTTTTTCAGATGAACGTAAAAAGTCACATTAGATAAAAGTTTTGTTCAGCTTGGGTTTACACAAAGCCCTCTAGAAATCAGTGAGACTGAATTCTTGTCTCCCTCCCCAGTGAGGTCCTCCTCCAGAGTCCTGAGTCAGTAAATGCCCTTCCATTGGCCAAGTAGCTCCTGACGGAAACCTGGGAGTTATTCTCGCTATCTCTTTCTCCTTCACCTCTCACCTCGAATCCTGTCACCAAGTGCTATTGGCTCTACTCATGTAGGGCATCAAACGGATTCACTTCTCTCCGTTTCCACTGTCCCTATGACCACCTAATTGAATAAATGAATTGGCCGTGGCCAGAAGACAGGGTCAATTAATATGGACATGGCCAGTGGGGGCTCACTCTGCCCCGACGGGTTCATTTCCATGGTTGTGAGTGAGGCATTCCCCTCAGGAGATAACCTGTGCTCTTCAGCCTCACCATGCTCTAAGTCCCCCCACACCAGCAGCAGCCTTCTTTCATTCCTGCAAACTACCTAGCTCTCCCCAAACTCAGAGTCTTCGCACATGCTGTTCACGGTGCCTGCTATGTTATTCTCCACTGTGCTGGTTATAGACTTATTGACCCTCAGCTCCCAATTTATTTTTATTTTTTGCTTGTTTTATGAAAAATCTATCTGGTCCTTTATATGTATTTTTCCTTTGTCAGCAGACACCATGTCAAGCTTTGTCAGTAGAGGGAACTAGAGAGACACCGCAGGAGGCCAAAGGTCTTCCTAGGTCTTGTTTCCTTTCTTGGCGGCTCCCGCACTCATGCCGCTTCCCTGGCACCCTCGGGGCAGTTTTGTAGCAGAGTGCCTCGTCACCGTGGGCAGCTTTCCCAGCACTCTGCAGATGCAGAGTTCTGGCAAGTTCCAGAAGGTGGAGTTCCAGCAAGTTCCACAGGTGCAGAGTGCAGGGACTTCCCTGCCACCCAGCCACCAACAGCCATGAGCTCTCCTCCCATGGGGTCTGGATCTCTAGCTCAAGGGTGTTCCTTATCTTGCTATTCCTCTGTGTTACTTCTTACTAGCCAATCCATTTTGACTCCAGTTCCCCCTTATAGTTAATAATTCTTTATATCAAATGTCCTTGTTCCAATTCCATATGGTTTCTCTCTTCTGATTGGATCTCCAGACTGATACACACCCTCGCTCTTCACCTGGCTAATTTTATTCATCCGTTCGATTTTAATATCATTTTCTCATCTCTCAAATCAAATCATATCCCTCTCCTTTTTATTCACACCTTCCACAATTCTAAAATTACATATTCATTGTGTGACATTAAGCCTTTGCCTCCCCTGACTTGATAATAAGATCTAGGAGGGTAGTGATCACCTTCATTTACTGCTATAATCCCAGTGCCCATCATAGTGCCTGGCCCAACAATGGTCATTAAATGAAAAGAGAAGTAAATCTTTAATGAGGTCCTATTATATGCAGGTTGCTGGTGGCAAATTAAAAAAATAGAACTCAATTCTTGTTCCACAGGAGGGTGACAAATTTATATGAGAAAATAAGACCCATACACACAAAAAACAGTAAAGGGAAGTTTCCAAAAGAATGACATAAGCTGTAAGTAATAGTGATTCAGAGACAACTGGAAACTCTTTTTAAAAAAGATTTTGTGTCTTATAAACATCCTGGGAAGTCAATTTCTTCTTAGATAATTGGATTTTACCCATTATACTAGTATAGAAGTGGGGAGGAAAGTGGAACAAATGAGATCAGTTATTTTAGAAGGTAGTTTTGGTAGATTCATAGGGAGTTATTAATTTCTTTCAGAAGTTTTAAAATGTAGCATATTTTATTTTTTCTATTCATGTAGGTTTCCAAAAATAAAAATAAATAACTATAAAATTGGAGAAAACTGCTCGTGTTTCTTCTTTCCTAGGAAGTGCTTTCTCTAGCTTTAAGCACTTTCTTTCCTGTGCATTGGTAAGGGCTGGCTGTTATCTGTTTATATCCTTGCGGGGGGTGGGGGGACAGTCTTCTAAAGGTAGGTAATTACTTTGGCATGATCTTGGACCAGTCACAGAATCATGTGTTCTAGGATTGGGAGTGGTTAATAGTTGCATTCTGTCCAGTTTCTTCATCTGGAAATGAGGGCTGCATTGTATTCTCACAGGTCTCTTCCAGCTCTCTCCGAGGACATGCACACATGTGAGCCTTCAGTTGAGCAATAATTCCCAGTGCCAAGTATGTTTCTTGCTGAAAGTTTGTCATTGTTTAATGAGTCAGTAGAATTGTAAATTTTATTTAAAATATACAGTGAGGTTTGGCATTTTGAGGTGTTGAATGCTCCTTAGTTTTGCATTCTGTCCCAGGCAGTCAGGACACAGAATTAATACAGGATTCCTGTTCCCTATGTTTAAGGTGAATCGGAGGAGGAAACCGGTGTTAAAACATCAGTTAGAAAGGCTTTTGGTGATTCACTTATAAAACACAATACACCATTTCCCTATATTTAGTGTAAATAAATAAAAACACTGCCTTCCATAAGAAATAAGATAGAATGGAGATTTTTCAAGATGTACGGTGTCAAATTGCAAAACGAAAAAACTAAGTTAAAGATTTGTTTGATCATAGGCTTGAAAACAGGGAATGCAAAATGAAAGTTAGACTCGCTAAGAACTTTGAAACTCACAGTGGAGGATGAACTTTGCGCACAGTGGGCGCTTTAGATCTATAACAATAAATCTAAACGTCAAACAATAAGAATGTTTGCAAATGCAAAATGTGGGTACTATTGAACGCGAGACCGTTAAAGAACTTTGAATGTCAGCTTAGCCAATGCAGATCAGAAATGAAACAAACCCCGCTGCTCAAATGAAGATTTGGAAAAGCGACACTCAACTTCCACTAGGGCTTGGAGCTCCGCAGCCAATTACCTCTCGGAGACTAGGATGAGCTGCAAGGGGGCCATCGGGCTTTCCATTTCTGACCAGATTATAGTCAGGCATCCTCCTCACTGCAAGACCAAAATTCCCAGACTTCCCTGCGGGCTCTACTGAGTACGGCTGCAGCTCGGGGTAGGGAGGCGCGAGCCAGGTACCACGCATCACCAGCCCGCCGCCCGCCCGCCAGCTGCTGCCAACCTCCTCCCGGCTCCCCGCGGAGAGAGCTGGCTTCCCATTGGGTCAGCCTGGGGGCATGGACGTCTCCGATTGGTTTAGAGGAGGGCGGGGCAGAGGTGTGTCCCGACGGCACACCCGCCCCTATAGCCTGGCCGCTCAGGATTATGGGAGGGAGGATTCTCCGAGAAGGAGGAAATATCCCCGCGTCAGTGATGGATATGGAACACTTGAATTACAAGCAAAGAGCACGTTAAAACAACATGGGGAACATAAATACAATGAAAACACGTTCAAACAGTTGTTACATAACCAGTTCAGTTTTTACGTTTTATGTTCCCATCAATCTGTTGGCGTTTTCTTACGTTTCTCTTTAGAAAACGTAGGAATACAAGTTAATAGAGTCACATCGCCTTAAGCGAAGGCGTTGGCGTCGGGGCTGCGATTGTGACACCCGCGTGCGACTCGGTCAGATCAGTGCTGCTTGCGGTGCATTGGCTCGGGAGCCCCGGACCTGGGCAGAACCCGGGAACAGGGCCCACGAAAGTTTGCAGGTTCGCGCTGGTGACAGCACCCAGGCCGTGGTGCTGCGCGCAGGAAAGAGCTAGGCCGGTGCAGCAGTAACACTTCTGTTGCTTCGTCTTCAGTTTCTGTCTTATCTGGGATTCGCAGCTCAACTGTAAACGGTCTTCTGCGGAAGGGCTTTGCATTGGTTCTTGCACACACATCACCTCGGTTCTCACAGGGTCCCCTCCGGATCAGAACACTTTTAAACAACAGCGGTTTCCTTAAGAAGAAAAAAAAAAGTAGAGAATTGCCTCGACTTCTGAATTTAAGTCCAGTTCTCTTTCATGACTTCTCTGCTGCCTGTAGATTTTATGTTTTTTTCTTTTTGAGTCTTGAGCCTTTATTACAATGCAGATCGGCTTTTAAGTTCTTGTGGACTCGCTGTCATCGCACTCAGGAAGTGGTAGTGGGACATTGACCCCAGTGATTGAATAAATAGTTGGTAGGTTTGTTGACTAGGGTCTATCTATGATGAGATAGCTCTAGTTCTAGTTAAGATTATTTGCGGAATTTTTTTCCTATGGGTGTGTTCTTCAAAATCCACAGAATACCCAGAAGCCAACTTCTTTTTCGGTGTGGTAAGTCAATCCCAGGATGCACATCAATAGTTAGTTGGTTGATAGTAGAGGCTATTACTTGCAACTGTATCTAAGATACTTCTAAATAAGCTACTTAGAAAGTTTTCAGTCTAGCTTTCCAGAATAAATTTCCATGATAAATTAGTTTAATTAGGATTAGGCATTATGTTATATTTGTTTTACATAAACTATTATTGCTGTCATGCTCTTCTCCAGTGCCAAACAAAATTTTATTTAATCATTTAAGGTCCATAACTTTTTTTGTTTAAATATCAGTCTGAAATTATGTTAAATAATCAACATGGTTTTCTCTCTTACAGATCACTTTTTAATTCGGGCCTCTGCAGCTCTAGAAAAATTGAAACTCTTGTGTGGAGAAGAAAAAAAGTGTTCAAATCCATCGAATCTACTAGAACTTTACACACAGGTACTAAGACAGATGTGGTTTCTGACATGTTATGGGGCAAATTGCTTAATTAGAGGATCGATTCCAATGTTTAGGTCTAATAAAATCATTTTATTCTCTATTTCAAGTGTTTGATTTTGTTCAAAAACTCTATGTACAAATATACAGACTTGAAACTTTGAGGAAGTATGCAAAGAAGATTTAGTAGATGTGTATTGATAAGAAAAGTAAGGAATAAAATCTTGCAGATAACAGAATTGCTTCCCTTTATAGGTAATTAAGCAAAACAGGACTATGTCCAATTTTGAAGGTTTTAAAGGTTATTCAGAAGAAATCGAGGATTCTAAAGAGCCCCAGTTATTTTTCCCCCCTGAAATTCTCCTTTCCTTAGGATTCTGAACATGACTCCCTCTGTTATTATCATGCACATCTGTAAGATTGTTCTGTTGCCCCTTTCCCTTTTTTTCTTTTGCTTTGTTTCAAATTCAGGCCTCTGTATGGACAAGATCTGTTTTCTTGGTTTTCTCAAACACTGCTGAGGCAAGTTGACATTAAACATTATTTCATTACTAGAGGCCTGATGCACGAAATTCGTGCAAGAGTAGGCCTTCCTTCCCTCGGCTGCTGGCTTCCCTCTAACAGGCTTCCCTCGATGCCCCGGCTTTGTCCGGAAGGTCGTCCGGAAGGACATCTGGTCTAATTAGCATATTACGCTTTTATTATAGATAGTAACTAACATTCCTACAACATCTTATAGTTAATAGAGTGCTTCGTATGCCCTTAGATATAATACAGATGAGTGCTTATAGAAAGTAGAGTAATTGGTGGCTACAAGAGTAGTGACGGGGAAGTAATTATTACATAGGGAACATAGTCAATAATATTGTGATGAGCCCTGACTGGTTTGGCTCAATGGATAGAGTGTCGGTGAAAGGTCCCAGGTTCGATACCGGTCAAGAGCATATACCTTGGTTGCGGGCACATCCCTAGTAGGAGGTATGCAAGAGGCAGCTGATCGATGTTTCTCTCTCATTGATGCTTCTAACTATCCTTCTCCCTTCCTCTCTGTAAAAAATCAATAAAGTATATTTTAAAAAAAATATTGTGATGACTATGTATGGTGCCAGTTAGGGTACTGGAAATATGTAAAGTTTAGGATTAACAACTAAGCTGTACACCCCAAACCAATACATAACAAAAAGAAAAGAAACAGAAAGCAGCCCTTACCGGTTTGGCTCAGTGGATAGAGTGTCAGCCTGTGAACTCAAAGGTTCCAGGTTCGAATCCGGTCAAGGGCATGTACCTGGGTTGTGGGCACATCCCCAGCAGGAGGTGTGCAGGAGGCAGCTGATCAATGTTTCTCTCTCATCGATGTTTCTAACTCTCTATCCCTCTTCCTTCCTCTCTGTAAAATATATTTTTTAAAAAAAGAAACAGAAAGCAGAGTAAACTTGGTTAACCTTCAAGTGTACATTTACAGCAGTTAGATGCCCGGCACTGTGTTTTCTGATTGGAGGAACATAAGTTGGCTTCCGCCTTCAAACGTCATGGTCAAATGAGTCTGTGACAGCTACTCACAAACCCCAAAGAACTGTTGTGACTTGGCAGAACTTGCCCTGGCTTTCTTTCCTTTCAGAAGGCTCCCAGCTTGTGTCATTTCTTTCACATGAGAGAGTTTTAAACATCTTAATTTATTTCTAAGAATATGGCAAAAGGCCCTAGATTTATAGTCCCCAGGCTTCCTTGGATCCCACTTATGGCTCTGAATCAACAGGTCACTTTTCTTAGGATGATCTCCTTCCTGGCTTAACCTCCACACAAGAACGTTTATCACTTAAGTAGTGCTGTGTGCCAAGTAATGTTCTAAGTCAGTGGTTCTCAACCTTCCTAATGCGGCGACCCTTTAATACAGTTCCTCATGTTGTGGTGACCCCCACCATAAAATTATTTTCGTTGCTACTTCATAACTGTAATTTTGCTACTGTTGTGAATCGTAATGTAAATATCTGTTATGCAGGATGTATTTTCATTGTTCACGACCCACAGGTTGAGAACCGCTTTACATATGTCAATTCATTTTATCTTCAAAGCAAAGAACTTTGAAAGTCATTTAGTCCAATTCATTTTACCAATGAAGAAACAGGCTTAAAAATATAAATTGACTTGTCCTTTGATTAGGTGATTAGTGGTAGAACTGATACTAGAACACAGTTTTGTTCATCTTAGTCCAATAGGTTAAAAAAAAAAAAAAGGATTGGGTAGTTTTAAAGTGCTTGAACAGAGCGTCTTGTATTTAAGAATGCTGGGGTCTTAGTGTTTGAATTGCATAATGTTGGTGATATGCTGCCTTTAGTGGGTTGAATCCGCATTTGGGAAAACAAATCCTTTGAAGATTCAGTTTACAAAACTAGAGGTAGGGATCTTAACTTGATACAGCAGCCATTTAGAAAATGTCCAGAGTATATATGTATAAATAGCAAAGAATATATAATTATACTTGTCATAATATTGTTTATGACTTACTTACCTGAATTAAAATATAAAACTCCCTTTTATTTTTTGAGGGAAGGAAGGTCAGCATTAATTTAATATTTTAGTAAAATAGCTATGAAGTTTTTCATCTTGGATTATGTTTTCAGCTAGACATTTTGCCTACTTTTCAAATTTAAACATTTATTGATTGATTTTAGAGCAAGGGAGGGGAGGAGAGAGAGAAGAAATAAGACATTGATTTGCTGTTCCACTTGTTTATCCATTCATTCATTCATTGGTTAATTCTTGTATGTGCCCTGACCAGGGATGGAACCCACACCGTGGCTTTTAGGGACTATGCCAGGGGTACTCAAACTTTTTAAACAGGGGGCCAGTTCACTGTCCCTCAGACTATTGGAGGGCTGGAAAAAAACTATGAACAAATTCCTATGCACACTGCACATACCTTATTTTGAAGTGAAAAAACAAAATGGGAACAAATACAATATTTGTATTTGCATGTGGCCCGCAGGCCATAGTTTGAGGACCCCTGGACTATGCTCTAACCAACTGAGCTATCTGGCCAGGGCCTCAAATTTAAATAGTGCACTAGAAAATTTAAATGTCTAATAAAACATCTGTACATATGTAAAGTTAAACTGTAAGAGTTATTCAGGTAGAAATCATTTACAGCTATTGTTTTCTCTTGTACATCATCAGGCTATTTTGGACATGACATATTTTGAGGAGAACAAGCTAGTAGATGAAGATTTCCCTGAAGACTCTTCCCAGAAAGTGAAAGAGTTGATCACTTTTCTTTCAGAACCAGAAATTTTAGTTAAAGAAAATAATATGTACCCAAAAGTAAGTTTTACACTCGTGAATGATGGTGAAGCTGCTAATTCTTGCTGTATGGACTGCTGGTTAGAGTCTGTGTTTTTTCTTCTTGACTATGTCTGTGTCTGTTTTAAATTAAGATTGAAGGAGGGATTACACTTCAGACCAGTGTCACACCTAAAGTATTATATTTTCTAAATATGTTTCAGTATACTTTCCTGATGTAATTGTATTGTAATTACAGTGCCTGATCATTTTCTAAGCAAAGATACTTGCTATTTCTGCTTCGTTTACTTTTGCAGACACTGCATTTTTTTTTTAATTGATTTTTTACAGAGAGGAAGGGAGAGAGATAGTTAGAAACATCGATGAGAGAGAGACATCGATCAGCTGCCTCCTGCACATCTCCTACTGGGGTTGTGCCCGCAACCCAGGTACATGCCCCTGACCGGAATCGAACCCGGGACCTTTCAGTCCGCAGGCCGATGCTCTATCCACTGAGCCAAACCGGTCCTGGCTGCATTTTCTTGAGGGTCTGCATTTTCCAAGTAATTTAATGACCATATCCCTTGTTGTTTTACAGTCTTGCTCCTTCCCCAACAGCTCCCCTTCCTCCCATCCTGGAGACAGGCACCCAAGGGTACTGCCTTAATCCCCTGACCGCCTCTATTCTTGCTGTATAACCTGTTGTATGCTTGTTACGGCATCCTATTTAGATGATTCCAAGATTTTTATCTCCAGCTATGGCTACTTTTTCAAGGAAATAATTCATCTTTAACCGTTTGACTGCTAAGGAGCGCTATTGCGCTCTTCTTATTTAAAACAAATTTATGTAAACAATTGGTATTTTTTAATTTTTGTTGTTGCAAAGCAATACAAGTGAGTTTATTGTATAAAAAGTGTTTTACATTTTTTCCCATACACGCGCAATTAGTGCCGCAGTTTTGGCATATGTCCGAAAAAATATGTCAGCATCCAAACGGTTAACTGCTTGCTGCTTATCTCCCCTTAGATATCTTTTGTGCTGTATGTGTTCATGAGGGGATGCTAATTGTAGAAACAAATACTCCCAAATTTTAAATGACACAACACAGTAAAAGTTTGATTAAGGTTGTTTTTGTGTATATCTTTTTATTATTTTATTCTAGCAATGGTAGAAATAGGTAAGATCTTGTTTCAAGTAACATGTAGTTCTAAAAAACTATCTTTTAAATCAGATTATTGAGTATTTATATTTTATATACATTAGAACTTGCTACTAAAATATTTAAACTATTTTCTAAAAATATTTATAAGTGGAGTAGTTATTTAATTTTCATGTAGCAATAGATGTCTGTATTTCTAATTGATTCAAAGTACAGCATTCCTGTGTAAATAGCTAAACGAAGAGAAAATGTTGTGAAATAAGTGTTTTTAATTTCTCAGTATTTTGAAATTTAACTTTATTTTTACAGACATCAAATTTCTCTTCTTAGCTCTGTCTCTGTTGTGTTTCAGCACTGCGATTTACTTGGGGACGAACTCTTGGAATGTCTCTCTTGGCGACGAGGAGCCCTACTTTATATGTATTGTCATTCTCTGACCAAAAGGAGAGAGTGGCTCACGAGGAAGTCTGGTTTGCTTAAAGAGGTAAGAAGGCATTCCTCAGTCCTTTTTGATTGTTAAGTTTATAGGTTCCTAAAAGCTGTCTTCGGTGTGGTGTAAAGACTATTGGAACCAAAGGGTCTTCATTCTTTGTCTTTTGCTTACTAGCTGTGTAATCGTAAACAAATTGGACTTACTGTGAATTAAGATAACAGGTGAAAGCCCTTTGCTTACTGGAAAGTTCTATAAGTTCATGATTTTTTTTTGTGTTTTTTTTTTAAAATATAAGGTAGACAAAATATATTATTTTTTAAGCAGAGTTTTTGGCTTGAAGAAAACAAACCTGGTTGTGAGCCTCTCTGTCAGCAGATCACTCATGAAGAACCCACGTGACTCTGCTGCTAGGAAACTGGTTCTGATTTGGTTTGACTCTCTGACCAAATCAATAAATCTCAAGACGGTCTTAGTATTGTGTCACTACGGAGTCTAACGGGTTGATTGTACCTATGGTTCATGGGGACCTGGAAATGAGAGGTCACCCTTTTAGGTGTAAAAATTTGAGAATATCATTTCTAAATTATAGTAAGTACATATATATTTTTAATAAATTGTTGAATACATCATTTTAAAAAATATATTTTTATTGATTTGAGAGGAAGGGAGAGAGAGAGAGAGAGAGATAGAAACATCAATGATGAGAGAGAATGCATTTGCTGCCTTCTGCACGCTCCCTACTGGGGATCGAGCCCGCAACCCGGGCATGTGCCCATGACTGGAATCGAAACTTAGACCCTTCAGTCTGTAGGCCGACACTCTATTCA